CCAGGATACAAGTTTAATCATTGGGAATTGAGGGTAACAAAATAATTTTTTCTTGATCATAATAATAAACGATTCACCTAATAACTTTATCTTTCGCACAAAAGGGTGTTCCGCTTCGATTAGAGATTGGACCTCGAGATTTAACAAAAAACCAAACTCTTTCTGTTCGCCGTGATAATGGTGTTAAGGATCCTATTCCATTAGATAAGCTTACAACCTGTGTTCCAGATATACTTAATACGATCCAAAAGGACATGTTTGAAAGAGCAAAAAAAATATATGACGACCATGTTAAAGTTATACATAAGTGGGAGGATTTTGTTCCAGCTCTCGATAGTAAAAACGTTGTACTTGTTCCCTGGTGTGAACAAGAACATTGTGAAGATAAAATCAAAGAAAAAAGTTCAAGAAGGCAAGTTGAATAATATATTTTATTTTTATTGATAATAAAAATTAATTTTTTTTTTTTTTTTCTTTTTTTTACAGTAACACTGAGCAAGAACCTGAAGACGATAAAGCTCCATCAATGGGTGCCAAATCACTTTGCATTCCCTTTGAACAACCAACCGAACCTCCTATCGTGCCTAACGAAACAAAATGTATATCTTGTGACGGATTTGCAAAAAGATACGCATTATTTGGCAGAAGTTATTAATATTAACAGACTAGAGCACTATGTAAATTATAATATCTAGATTTACGAATTGTCATTTTTTTTTTTTTTAGAAAAAAAAAAAAAACAAAAATAAATATAATATTGGTAATTACAACATTTTTAAAGTCTTAATAATATTAATGAAAAAAAAAAAGATAAATCAGTTTATTCTATTCTTCCTATAAAATAAAGTACCGATTTTATAAGATTCACTAAATATGTTAGTACATCGGATCTGAAAATTTATCGTGCAAAAACTAGCAGCAGATTAGTCGGATTAGTAATTAGAAATCAGAATTTCATTTCGATGGCGGCGGTGGTGGTGGCGGTGGTGGTGGAGCGGGGGTAGGTGGTGGTGGCGGAGGTTGCTATTTAAAACAAAAAAAGGTAAGAAAATATGTCAAAGCAAACAAACATAAAAATAACAATAGTTACCCAGTGCGCAGAAGGCGGGGGTGGTGGATATCCAGCCGCCGCAGCTGCTGAATAAGTTGTACCATAAGCAGAATAACCAGCAGTGTTACCATAAGTAGAGTAAGTGTAATTTAAGGTAGCAGGAGGCGGCGGATATAAAGCACTTGATGCAGGTGCAGTAGGATAAAGAGAAGATCCGGGTGGAGGCGGATAGGTTAATTTGGTGTTATTCCATGCTGTCGTAGTGGATGATAATCCTGGCGGTGGTGGCGGTGGATTGGACAAACCTATGAAACAAAAAATTATTAATAAATACTATTAATATAAAAAGAATAAACTAATTAACTATATATACCAGGCGGTGGCGGAATTGCGGTTGCAGATACGGGTTGTTGCCAAGGTGGCAAACCAGATGCCGCCGTTTGAATACCAGAAATAGCAACGTTAGGCTTTACTGCCCATGGAGGAGCAGCTGCAGATTGTGCAGCCCACGGAGGCTTTGGTCCGCTTGAAGGACCATAATGCCCCTGTATATAAAAAGATACGTTAAAATACAAATTGAATAAAATGATAATTCATTAAAATGTAATCTTAACATACAGTTTTCACACCAAGTTCATTAGTTCTCGACGCATCAACATTCTCACCAAGTTCAGCCATTAGATTCATATATTCACTATCTAATTTTTGATCTCTTTGCTTAGCCTGTTGTAAAGCTTCTGGATTATTTCTTTCCATGCAATCTCTTGCTGTATGACCATGACCACTACAGATGCGGCATGTAAGATTAATAGTGAAATTTTGTGACTCGGTGCACTCGTATTTTCGATGGCCTGTGGCACCACAATTTGTACAAATTTGATTTTCGTCATCGCGGAGAGTACCATTAAGAGCTGCTAGCTCGCGTAATTGTTGCCGTTTAAGTTCATTCTGACCTTCTGGTACAGATGCAGACTAAATAACAAAACGACATTAATTTTTTGTTAAATATCATTTTTATATATAAGTTTATGAAATAAATCCATTATAGAAAAAAAATATATAATAATAAATTATACCGTTTCAATGATCTTATTAATCATTTTAACTGCTTTGGCAACTTTTTCTTCGGCATCAGCTGTAACCAGACAATGTAAATCTTCTTCTTGGTTAGCATTTGCAGCAGCATCAGTTCTACTTTTTCCTTCTTTCACGCTTCCTCTACCACGAATACTAATTTTTGCACCGGATTCAGATTCCATTTTTTTGAGTGTATTGCCACGAGGGCCGATCAACAAACCGATGAAATTAATTTCAGGAAATTCTTTAGCAGGAATATAGACTTTGTCTTGTACTTTAGTTGGTCGTTTATAATCTGCTGGAGGTTTATAATCTGGATTTCTTTTAATAGCTTCTTCAATTAATTTATGACGTTCATCTTCTAACTTCTTTCGATAACGGTATTCACGGGTATTTACACGTTTCCCTTGAGAGTCATAGACTGGTTCCGGAGATGGTGATCTTTTATTACATATAATATAATATTATTTATGTATATGATAATAAAAAAAGAATTTTTATAATATTTGAAATCAATAAACCTACCTTTCTCTCTCAGGTGGAACATAATCGCCGGTTCTCAATTTTCTACCGATTTCTTCTAATCTCATATGAACTATTTAAACAGTTTATTAAATGTTAATGATCATCCACCACAAATAAGGGAATAAAAAAAAAAAATAATTAAAAATAATTACGCAGGTATGTATCTAATTGCTCCTTTGACATATTAGAAGTAATGGCAGTTGGTAAACCTGGAATGTTGACTTTCGATTCTTCCCCGCCCCACCTGCTTCTTCTCTTGCGCTTACGTTCCTCACTTCCATCTGAAATATTCCAGTTAGTTGACGAAACGGTTTTGGAGAGACATGAGAATTTCGGAGGAACAAAATTAATAGTGAATAACGAAACGCAATTTGATAAACTGTTAGTATATACGTCTTTCATTTATAATTTGAAAAGTTAGATTTATTTTTGGAAATACTGTATCCAAATATTATAGATCAATGAGAACAATAAAAAAAAGACTGAATGCATATAGATCTTATGGCCATTATGTTGCGAAGCATTAAATTGTTATTGTGCAGTGATAAAATATATGCTACGAGGGTCATATCTTCCGCGTAATACCTGTTTGTTCCCCGTTTTCTTCATTAGATCTTTTCAGAGAGTTTCCTGTACTGCTTGATTCTTTAGCTTGTTCAGCAAAATCTTCTCGCATATCATATTCATCCATAGATCCGCCTATTCTTCGTCTTCCCAGCGGAATATTATTTGTACCAGTAATTGAAGGCTTCCACGACATCGCGAATATTGGAGGAATCGTCCTTCAAAATTTTTGCTTTTGTTTTAGTGCTTATATTTGTACAAATCAAGTGATCAATTCTTTTTGACATTATATAATTTAAATATGATTGGACAATCAATCATTAGCACCTCCGTGATGCATCTCCACAGT